TTACAAAAGCTTCTCCGAGTACTAATGTACAGAAATATTGTCCAAGTGCTGGGCGAGGGAGTGGTGTTTTTAGTATAAGCAAAGGCTCCAGGTACTGTGAGGAGTACAGAAATTGCTCTAGGCGCTGGGCACAGGAGTCTTAATCTGCTCAGTGAGGTAGTCTCTCTCCAAGGCCAAATGGAATCAACCAAGTGACGCGTGAGGAAGCTGTTTAGGTCGTTGCACCATACTACTGCATTAGTGACGAGACTCTCAAGATTCTACCCATGTTGAAGTTACGTTCGGCGGTTGAGTAGATCTCGAGGCAAACAGACAGAGAAATAAAGAGCAACGGTTTCAAGCGTTCTCGCCAAAGTAGCGTAACAACTAAGCGGGCCAAAGCCACCTAAGCAACATGCGGAGCGCCCCGTCCCCCAAGAAGACATCATCATCGCCGATGATACTGACAGAATCGGCACGTATAGGTTGAATAGGCCGATAAAACTTAGCAATGAAAGGCCCCAAGGATTCCAACTCTAGACGCAAAAAAGAGTAATATCGAAAGTCTGAGGATGAATAGGTGATGGGCAAAGGAGACTCTATAAACGAGAAAGAAAGGAAGAAATGTCGGAGTACTTCATGATGTTGGAAGAAGCGAAAGGTTGACTTTGCCACTGGAATAGCAAAGTTGACCTTCTGACTACAGCTCGAAACTTTTGCACTTGACATTTACTATACCACAACTTCCAATGTAATTTTCGGATAGATCGCTCACGAAGTTGGCATCGTATGACTGCCAAAAATTTGATCTGCTTGCCTAGCGCATATCGAGTGTGAGCAAATCTCGCGCGCGGTCAGGTTCAAGTCAAAGTGAATGCACTGCAACAGTTCGCTCTTCCTACAAAGCGTGTCTCACTTGAGTGCCGTTGACTCAAACATGCACTCTTCAGACGCATAAAATTCGGTTCTTGACCGAGTCCCTTCAAGTCGGGATTGGCGCCATTCAGCCGTCTCCTAAGATCTGGCTTCAGCGAGTTTTGTATGTGATTGTGAAAGATGGATGAATGTCTAGAGACACTCTCGACTGCGGTTGCGTCGACTTCGCACTGTTTGGAGCTTTAATCGACTCCAACGATTCCCATCCGATTCTCTTCGAGTCGAGATTCGCGCTACTCAGCCGTTTCCTATAAGTTAGCTTCAGTGATCGTTTTGTATGTAATAGATATAGGCCGCCAGCCACTCTCGACTGCTGATGGGAAAAGATTGGGAATGTTCGGCCTCTTTATCTCTTCAACGTTTCTCAATCGATTCTCCTTCGAGTCGAAATTCGCGCTGTTCGGTCGTCTCCTAAATTCTGGCTTCTGCGATTTCTTTTATATGTAATATATAAAAGAATAATATATGAGTTTCCAGAATCTCAACGTTGACGGCGATCGTGCTCAGTAAATGGCCACTTCTATAGATAGTTTCGGGACAGATACGCGCTTTCGGCTGCCTCAGATGTGGTCACAGTGGTTGCGAACCGATCCCCTTCGACTGAAATTCGCTCAGTTCAGTCGCCTCTCTGGTGGCTTCAGTGTGTCCCACTCGATGTCATCAAGAAGATAGTCAACTCAGCCGCCTGCTAACGTATGGCTTCTCAACTCTAAATGTAACAGTGAAAGATGGATGGATGCTCAGATCCCGATGAAAGTGAAGATTACTAATTCAAAAGTTAAAGAAGAAAGGATGCTTGACTCATGTTGGATCGTGTTCGATAGAAATTCTATAAGTTGCGATGGACATCCTAAAACTGCCAACTTTGCCCAAGACATTCACCTGCTAAAAGTATTAGCCACACGTCTCGGACTTCTAATATAACTAGTGAGTTTTTTAGCATGCATGAGCCTAAGGAAACTCAAACTGTGCGCACAGCGAAAGCCTTGATAGAAATGGCAGCATCAGTGGAGGGCTACCACACGAATTACGAACAGGATCACTTGAATCTTGCGTAGCAAAAAAAAAACAAATAAGAGGTTCGTATATACATATAGTAATGAAGGAAAGCGAGAAACGACTGAAGTATTGAGACTAAGAAATAACCTGGATTTCAACGCTGAGCTCGTTCCGGCCTCGCCTGTGGAGCAATATAATCACCAAAAGCGTCCATTTTCGCTGTCATCCATGTAAGAGCGCTTTGTACCCGCGGATTCTCACATATCCGTTCTCGGAAGCAATAGATCACCACTAAAATTTAGAGATTACAAGCGCTCATATGTGAAAAACAGTGAACATGGGAGTAAACAGTCTCACCTGCATAGGCCACAAGCAACGAAAGGCTTAGATAAAAAAGATCTGGTCGATCATCATACACAATATGCAGCGGCCCATCTGCTTTACGCGCAGTACCAAATACTGGTTGCACGTCCGTCCAATCGTACACGAATGACTGCAAGCATACAACCGATTAAAACTGGAACTGGAACCAAATAATCTTTCAGTAAGATTTTACGCACTCACCATGAGTCCCATGTCGTTTAACGATCGGTCTTCCATCCGGGCCACAGCAGCTCCACTAACCCACAACATGACAGTTGGTGTACCGGATACACCGTAACGCGAATTCAACCTACAATCCCAAAAAAAATGAAAAAAAAATCTCCAATGGCAGCATTTGGTGTAAAACTCAAAGAATGCTATTTTTAGATATGTAACTTCATACATAAAACTAATGCAAGGCCGGGTAATTACTTCCCGATCACCCATGCTCGGAAACTTATAATAAAAAAAGGGGTGAAACTAACTTGGTGAACTCTGTAGCATCAAATGCTACGAATTTCATACTTCCATTGTAAATTTGTGGAAGAGCATTGAAGTAAGGTGCAATTCGTGCACTGAATGGACACGTCGGTGAGTAGAATAACCTAAAAAAATGGAAAATCGCAAAAAAGCAATGTAAAGAATGAAGTGGAAAAATCCACAGAACTAAAAAGCCAATTTTTTGAATGGCTTTTGTAAGTCAAAATGAAGCAGTGAAGTGAATCTATAAAAATGTAGCACTGATAAAACTTACGTTATCATGCACCAAGTTCGCTTGTACGTGTCCGTATGTTGTAGCATCCGCAATAAAGTGCTAGCATTGACAGTTTCAACCGTAAATAATTTATCATCACGTGGATCTGAATATGAATATATGAGCAAGTATTTTTCGGTTGTAAGAAATGGCGCTTCTTGTAACACTTACAAACTGTCTGGCAGCGATATTTGAATAATCCCTCAGGATCAAAGATAGGATCATCGCATTTGTCGTCATACTCCAATGGACACAAGAAATTCATATAGTAGCTGAAAGTTCTTAGAGTTGCATCCCAAACCTTTTTGATAAGAGGAAGAAAGAGATCAAAAATTTGTGTAACACAACATGTATATCGCGAGATTGCATGGCATGCCCATATGTAAATCCCGGATTGCGCGAAATCTGGTGTCGTCTATCAGCTCGAATGTGTGAAGTGCTCTGCCATCTACATCGGTGAGACTGGCCGCCC